AAAGACGAAAAGGAGGAGGTCAAGCCGCAGCTGGACGAGGATCTGCCCCCGTACTATCCGGCGGTGCAGGGTTGCCGCTCAGTGGAAGAATTCCAGTGTCTGAATCGGATCGAGGAGGGCACGTACGGCGTGGTTTATCGGGCGCGCGACAAGCGCACCAATGAAATCGTCGCCCTCAAGCGGCTCAAGATGGAAAAGGAAAAGGAGGGCTTCCCCATTACGTCACTGCGCGAAATCAACACACTGCTGAAAGGTTAGTCGGTCGGTTTTTTTTTTGGCAAAATTCCTGGACTTTTCGCGCCTTTTCCGTCAACAGGGCAACACAGCAATATAGTGACGGTGCGCGAAATTGTGGTGGGCAGCAACATGGATCGCATTTTCATCGTGATGGACTACGTGGAGCACGATCTGAAGTCGCTGATGGAAACGATGCGCCACAAGAAGCAGAGTTTCATGCCCGGCGAAATCAAGTGTCTGCTCAAGCAGCTGCTGCAGGCTGTCGCCCATTTGCACGACAACTGGATCCTGCACAGGTGAGTCTGGTTTTCGGAAATTGTGCACAATCTGGCAACGTTGCCAGCTAAATCTTGGGATTCTTGGGTGTTTCTCATCGGCGTTTGATGGCCAAGGAAATTCTCTATCGAAATGGTCCTTCGGACTAGTTGAGGATTTCCAGCCGTTTTCCTGCTATGAATTTTTGAAGGTTTAAAGAGTCGCTTAAGGGGCGAAGCCCTAGGTGGATGCTGGTGCGCTTTCATAGGGCGCTTCGGGGCATTAATTTCAATTTTTTCACCAAATTGCAGCCGAGTATCTTTGCAATTGCCAGCGCTGGGCCGGTTTTTACGTACATTTGCAACATCTGGCAACACTGTAAACAAAGTGATTTTCCGCTGTAACTCGTTTGAGGTTGGGATTTTCGGTGGTTTATCATCGGGAATCGATAGCTATGGAAATTCTCTATCGAAATGGTCCTTCGGACTAGTTGAGGATTTCCAGCCGTTTTCCTGCTATGAATTTTTGAAGGTTTAAAGAGTCGCTTAAGGGGCGAAGCCC